ATCCTCACCTGTGTACCGACACCTGCATACATCCACCTGTATCCCGCCACTGTATGTCTGCTGGATTACCTGCTGGATGACCCCGCGTGATAGAGCGCAGGCGACAGGGCATGGGGGCCTATGAGCGTGATATCAGGGTGGGAGAGGTGAGCTCACGTGCCATGTGGCGGGTGCCTGTCGTGACTGAACGGCGGCTGTCCGCCAGAACATCGGCTGGGGTCGCCAGAACACTGCATTGCCCATGATGGTTAGGGGCGGGGAATGCTGGACTTGGTCGTTCAGCCTACACGCCACGGAATTGCATTGGTCATGCTAAAAAAGCAGTGTTTTATGTGGACAAACGCCACTAGAGTAAGCGTCCTTGTTAACCACATACAATACTGGCTGTTTTGCAGCACGTTTTGGTTGCTGCTTCTTGGTTAGAGACTGGCTGATTGGGATATTGCGTATATGGTTGATGGCAGACAAGAAAGTTAAAAGACACAAATCGTGTCATAAATTATTCAATAATAAACTTCTATCCCACACCTGCGACCTCCTCTCTCATCTTCGGCCTGTGTGCCATGTCCGATTTTCTTTCCGTAGCTTTGCCCATATTTGACAGCACGCTCGTTCCCCAGTTCAGAAGATTTCCGCGTTGGGTTTTCGCCGTCAGTTTCACAGTCAGCCAAGGACCGTCAGTCAGACAGACATGCGGGTGCGCATCATACCAGCGCTGCAGGACAACTACATGTACCTGGTCAGTGCTGCCATCTTGTGTGAACCCCGCAAGCTGTGGTGGCTCCTGCGCAACCAGTGGAGATGCCTTCGCGTTTTGTTGAGCGACTACGGAGCTCTTTCTCCCCGCATGCATACATTTGCGTCGCTATTTGTCGCATCGCTACCGTCCACATTCAGTTGTGTGCACTCGTCTGTTTGCTTAGGGGAGGATATGCAATGGGGAAACCATTCATGAGTGTCATGTGTGATTTACACGGGTGAAGCGTTTTAATATGTCGACACTCTTATTCTTGCGCCAGTTCATGAACTCGCATTCGTACACTCGAACTGTGCTGGGTGTGTAGCCATGCTTTTATTACAACGCCGGCAGTTTGAGTAGACGTTCGCTCGATTTACACCTGATCCGTGTAGGCCATGGTCGTCCTCGCAGTATCCCCTTGCGACCGAAGTTTCCGCCACCAACCATCCGGCCTTTTTCTACCGGTTTGTCTACCGTCCTTCACCGCAGCTGGTGGACGAGAAGACCAAGCAGGCGGCAGTCGTGGATCCGGTAGAGCCGGATTCGGTGCGCTCGGCTGTCAAAGAGGAGGGCGTTCAGCTGACTACCGTGCTCACCACACACCACCACTGGTGAGTGAGCGCACCGCCCGTGGCGACCATCCCGCCACTGGCAGCGATGCCACGGCATCCCCACTAGCCCTGCCGAGTGTCGCCTCGCTGTCCCGGGCGTCCCCGGTGGCCCTACTGGGGCACTGCCCTGCCCCCGGGGCAAGTCTGCCCTTTGCCACTTGCCATTTTGTCGTTACCAACACCTGGAAGCATGCTGTAGCAGTGACAGCGTATAAGTCGCGTGATATCTGCAGTGTGCGCACTAAGAGAGCCAGAGCGGGCTTGACGCGCATAGCCACGGCCACGAGGCACTGCCGCGCGCTCCAATCTGTCTAAGGGTGGACCTCAGGTAGCAGGACTCAGGCGGGGTGATGTCGGCTGGCCGGGCCGCCGTCTGGGAGCCGTGCTAACACACTGACTCGGGGAGATGGCGCCACCCGCCTGACCGAACCCGCCGCCAGTCGGCGCCCTCCCGCTGGCCGCTCGGGGAGAGGGCGCCACCCACCTGACCGAGCCCGCCGCCTGTCGGCGCCCTCCCGCTGTCCGCTCGGAGAGAGGGCGCCACCCACCCAACCGAGCCCGCGGCCGCTCGGCGCCCTCCCGCTGTCCGCTCGGGGAGAGTGGCGCCGCCCACCCGACCGAGCCCGCCGCGCTCGGCGCTCGCCCGCTACCGTCACCGTCCGTCGCCCCACAGGGACCACGCCGGCGGCAATGATAAGCTGGCCTCGCACGAGGCCGGGCTGGCCGTGCTGGGCGGCGACGACAGGATCGGCGCCCTCACTCGCCGCGTCGGTCACGGAGACAAACTCACCGTCGGCAGTCTCAAGGTCAGGTCAGGTCACGGAGACACGCTCACCGTCGGCAGTCTCCAGGTCAGACCACGGAGACACGCTCACCGTCGGCAGTCTCCAGGTCAGACCACGGAGACACGCTCACCGTCGGTAGTCTCCGGGTCAGACCACGGAGACACACTCACCGCCGGCAGTCTCCAGGTCAGACCACGGAAACACGCTCACCGTCGGCAGTCTCCAGGTCAGACCACGGAGAGACGCTCACGTTCGCGTAGTATCCGGGTGTCAGACCACGGATGACACTCACCGTCGGCAGCCTCCAGGTCAGGACCACGGAGACACGCTTTTTCACCGTCGATAGCTTCCAGGTCAGGTCACGGCGGACCACACTCACCGTCGGTAGTCTCCAGGTCCGGACCACGGAAGACACGCTCACCGTCGGTAGTCTCCAGGTCAGGTCACGGCGGACACACTCACCGTCGGTAGTCTCCAGGTCAGACCACGGAGACACGCTCCCGTCGGCACTCTCCAGGTCAGGTCACGGCGACACGCTCCCGTTGGCAGTCTCCAGGTCAGGTCAGGTCAGGTCACGACGACACGCTCCCGTCGGCAGTCTCCAGGTCAGGTCGTGGGGCCCGGGTCTGGGGGTCAGATCGCCGAGCCGAGTGTTTGATGGCGTTAGGTCAGCGAACTGGGTGTCCTATGAGGTCAGGTCACGGAGCCTGATTTTCATGTCGTGGGTGAGTTAACTCGGCCGAGGTTCTCACCTGCCGCGGATATATCGTCCTTCTACGAGGCCGATGACAGAGCTCACGAGGTGCGGCGAGCACCAACAAACTGAAAATTATGACACCGGGTATCCAGGAAAGGCAGGCATTTTATCGGAATTCAAGACGGGTGGAAGTCATGCTAGGTCGTTCACGGGTCAGTCACACTTACGCCACCCATAGATACTCTGTGCGTCGCGATGAGCCACCTCGGTGTCGGCAATGTTACACAACGCTTACTGTGCGTCACGTGCTCCGCTCTTGTCCCGCATTACGTGCTGAACGTCTGATACTTCGGTCGGACTGCACCGTCTCTCACGCTCTTAAATAATTCACGTGGCAATGACTCAGTACGCATCAAACACCTCTTCAAACTTCTTTTGCTTGCTGACTTCTTTCGATATATATATATATATATATATATATATATATATATAATATATATATATATCGACTCAAATGGTTCGCGCCAAATAGTTGCAATTATTGAGCGACTTTGATCAGGACATAAGTAATAGGCGTTATATGAACGTGACAGCCTCAGTTACTTCTACTGCGGCAGAGGATTGACGGCCTTCTGTGACGTCAGCTCATAGGCCTGTGACGCCGGCAACAGGTCGGGTCAGCAGGCCACTGCAGCTGCCATTCCCAGCTGAACAGGGCTTGGGTTTCTGGCGCGTGCGATGTGGATTATGTAACGTAGCTCTCGCCGTGTCCACAGATCGAGTGCCTGTTCACGCCGTGTTGTGACAGATGGCTCCCGCCGTGTCCACAGATCGAGTGCCTGTTTCACGCCGTGTTGTGACAGATTAGCTCCCGCCGTGTCCACAGATCGAGTGCCTGTTCACGCCGTGTTGTGACAGATTAGCTCCCGCCGCGTCCACAGATCGAGTGCCTCTTCACGCCGTGTTGTGACAGATTAGCTCCCGCCGTGTCCACAGATCGAGTGCCTGTTCACGCCGTGTTGTGACAGATTAGCTCCCGTCCGTGTCCACAGATCGAGTGCCTGTTCACGCTGTGTTGTGACAGATGGCTCCCGCGTGTCCACAGATCGAGTGCCTGTTCACGCCGTGTTGTGACAGATGGCTCCGCCGTGTCCACAGATCGAGTGCCTGTTCACGCCGTGCCACACCAGCGGCCATATCTGCTTCTTCGTCAAGGGCGACGACGGACAGCCTCCTGCCGTCTTCACAGGTTCGTGCAATCACGCCTCGCAGTACACGTATGCTTCTCTATGTTGTGAGCCGCGTGTCCACCACCCTGCGCCCGTGAGCGTCTGACTCTGCTCCTCCGCCGCAGGGGGACACGCTGTTCCAGGGGGGTTGCGGTCGCTTTTTCGAGGGCACCGCCGACCAGATGTACGCGGCTCTGGTGGAGACGCTCGGCAGCCTGCCCGGAGAGACGGTATGTGTATTACACTGCGGGTACCGGTACCGGTACTGTCCGGGCTCCGCTGGCGGGGAGGGTGGGGCTAGACACGTGAGGGGCCATAGATCGACACAGATCAAGTGCCTGTAATGTGTGCTCACGTGTACGCTGTTGGTTTTGGTCCGTCGTTTTTGTTTGGTGGCTGTTGACAGGTGGTATTTTCGAGCTTGCCTCTGGTCAGGAGAGCTTCAGGTCCAGCAGTGCAGGGGCTCGATGCGGGTGTGAAGGCTGGTGGACGTCGTGGTCGAACGAAGGACACGAGCTTGAATCCCGTTTGAAAAGGCAACTATGTTTTTTGGGGGCGGGGGAGCGGTTAGTGAGGCACATCGCTTGTGGAGTTTGTGACCTTCATCGGTATGGCCCCCTGGATGCCATTTTCTTTTCGATAAGTTACGCTGTTTCGCCGTTGATGGAGCATAAAGGCAGACCACACAGTGTAAGTTTGCGGAATAGCCAGGGAAGATGACTCTGAACTTACTCATCAGAACAGGCTCATTTACCAACCGTTGGTCGTGTGCTGTCGACAGCAAGTGTTCTGCGGTCATGAGTACACCCTGCAGAACCTGAAGTTCGCGCAACACGTGGAGCCTAATAACGAGGACATCAAAAGCCGAGTGGACTGGGCGCGATCCCAGCGGGAGAAGGAAGAACCCACAGTGCCGTCCACGATCGGTAGGTGGCACTCGTGCGCTGCTCTAATTCTGGCGTCGAGTCTTTTTTGTCTTGACTTCCGTTTTTCAAAGTGCGCCTTTTGTGTGGCTTCCCAATCCATTTATACTTAACTTTTTTCTGTCCTGTGCATAGCGTGTTAATCAAGGAAGCATCTCCATGTGTTTATATCATACAGTGACATCGGTTGTGACGCACGGCCCCTTGGTTAAGCGCCACGTGGCTAATCGTTGAACCTGCCCTATCACATCCGTCTCTCTTATCCCCTATCTCGCTTCGTCCCGCGTCCGCGCGACACCCCGCTTGTCCGGGGCAGGCTGCATGCGTCAGCCACGAGCGGGCCGAGAGCCCTGTGGGAAGGGGGACCCCGACCGGGTAAAATTACTTTTACCCCAGCGCGCAAGCGCGGGTAAAAGCCCGTCGGTTGGTCCCCCAGGCGCATGCCCGTCTGCCCCACCGTTAACCACTTTCCCCCATCACAGAGTCCTGAAATGATCATTTCTGGTCGAAAGGGCTCTAATCCAAACAACCAAACAACCAGAAAACTGCCCTGTTTTTTCTCATTCGCCGCTTTATTCTCAATCAAATAGTACATGATGCGAATTGAATAAGTTGCATTGTGGTGCAAGTAGTGGGAGATAGAAGTAAGCTGGTGCTTACAATGCAATATATTGGTCCATAGCTTATATATATATATATATATATATATATATATATATATATATATATATATAATGTATATATAATGGATGTATATATCTATGTATCAGATGCTAGCATTTCATACTGCACGCAAATAAAGCGAGCATTTTATTCAAACATCAAACATGGTGCAGAAGAACATTTCGAGAAGCATCATACGCCGTTCTTGGGAGGCGTTATCTTAAAAAACTGTCCTCCAAGTTTATAAAGACCCTGCTGAATGAAAGATCGCAGACTCGTTTTCAATAAGAAACCGCAGGCCCACACCTGAACGCCATGACTTATTCGTTGACACTTTTAAAGCCCGCCTCTGTTTTGGTCGTCACCATTTCGTAATTCAATATTTGTCCAGTAAAGTTAATTACAATAACGACGACCGAGGTCAGCGTTTGACACCTTTTGTAGTGTTCTTCTTCTTCCATGTTCTGTGCTCTTTTTTGTACGTGTGCTGAGGAAGACCTACACACGTGTTTGAACCAGTTCGTTACATCATGAGCATGAGGTTATTCTTGTTTTCCGACACAAAAGCATGAGTGCTCTCAACGCCCTGCCTTATTGTGATCGGTACTGCGGCTCCTCAGACGTTGGCGACGGAACCTGACCTGACCTGCAGACTGGTGCGCCGAGATGACCCTTGACGGCTCTTTAGACACTTGCGGCGTATAACTGTCCATGCCGGCTCGATCGCTGATACATGCATACGGGACCCCATTATGACGTGTCAACTGACGTGCATACAGGCTGAAGCCGGTGCGCCTTGGAAAGGTCATCTATGTGCCCTATCGACAACTACCCACTGGTAGCTGTAACCCGGCATGCCTCATAATATGTTTTTCTCGCCTAGCATAGCAATGGATTGACTCGAGCAGAGGTGCCAAGCCAGAAGGTCCAGACTGCGTCCAAACTCTGAAATGGCAAAGCAGAACTAGGCGCTGCACACGTGCATCACGATCTTACAAACCGCTGAGACCTCACTGTGACCCATTCTCTGAAGCGTTTGGCCAGTTCCGTGCGGACGGTAAACGGCGCGTCGAAGTCGCGTGCCGTACGACGAACGCGTCGCCACCTTTTCAGCGCTGGAGAAGCTGATCAACCCGTTCTGTCGTGTGCACGAGGCGTCGGTGCAGGCACACGCCGGCACCTCGGAGCCTGTGCCGACCATGGCCGCGCTGCGCCGCGAGAAGGACGACTTCAAGCCCAAGAAGTGAGTCCGACGGCTCTGCTCGGGCGGCGCTCAGACCGGGGGCGCCGCGCGACTCGCTGCCAGCTGACGGCGGCTGCAAGCAGTTGGAGAGGTGGGGGGGGGGGGGGGGGGGGCGACCGCGGCCGCGCTGGCTCGGGACCGCGCCGGCCTCTCAGATGGGGTGATGTGGCAGTGGGAGGGGTGCGGGGGCGGGGTGCTGCCTCTTGGGACCGCGCCGACCTCTCTCAGGCAGTGATGTGACCTTGAGAGGGGTGCGGTGCGCGGGTGCGAGGTACTGCCGCTCTGGACCCGCGCCGGCCTCTCAGACGGTGATGTGATTGATGGAGGGATGCGGCGCGCGGGTGTGTGGTGCCGCCGCGCACAGTCTGGGTGTTTTGTACGTGAGCGCGTCTGTTCTGGCTGTTGACAATCGGCTGCATCTGCAGCCTCAGGGTTTGAGGCCGCAGGCAGCTGCTTCAGAGACCATTCCTGGGGCTTCGTTCTGTACTCATGGGGCACATGGGCTAACAGGGCTCAGTAGCTCAATGTGTGGATAGGACTGCAGATGAATGTTGGCCTCTCGTCTGTATATCAGTGGCCGCTCCAGGTCGATTCATGCACACCTGATATCCGTGTACTGTCAGGAACTGAATACACGTGGCTTGTACAAGTTGGGACGACGTGTTCATTGTCGTTTTACGTGCGCTGGAAACTGATTGCATACAGGCTACACGGTAACCAAACAAGCGTGATCAGTTTGCGCTGCTCTGTTAGTCGCTCTTGGCTCACACTGGGTGGAGGCAACGGCCGACCCTATGGCAGAGCAGGCTTGCCGCGGGCAGCGCCGCCCTACCGAGCGTCTCATATTACAGCGCAGCGTGCCGGCAACAAACGGCGGCCTTGGTCTGGACGTTCATAGAGCCTACGGTGATGATCGACCCTGAAACTTCCAGCCAGCCAGGGCTGTTAGAAGCTGGCAACCAATGGCAACATCCAAGCAGACAACGTACGACCAATGGCCACCAGCCATCGAATCGGACAACCAATGACCCGACCTTGGCCAACACAATAGTCGTCCAGCCTGGGCCGGACAACCCACAGCAGCGCTTTGTCGCAGTCGGCAGCCAGTGACGGCCCGGTTCTGGACCGTTTGGCCAGTAGAAGCCCGGCGCCGAACCAGCCGTCCAGTGGTGACTAGTCCTCGAATCAGCCGACCAATGGGAGCGCCGGCCGCTGTGGTACACGTTATGGCTGGATGACGGTTGGGGCGGACGGACTAGCTGCAGGTGCGCAGGCTTTGGAGGCGGCCTCGCGAGGTGGCCAAACAGAACAAACGCGATTCTACAAATTAGAAAACAACTCTGCAATCGTTATGTCTCGACACGCAGCAAGAGGCCGGGTACGTCCGGTTATATCCGGTCGCGGTGTTTGTCAGACACATAGCCGCTACCGACTGATTTCGGCATTCCGGTGTTTTTCCCATGACCTGTCGGTGGTGTGAGCCGCCCATGGTCGCACTCACCACAAAAAAGAGATGGAGCAGTCTCAGTTCAGGCGCGGTTAGGTCCGTGCTCACTACCGCAACAGCGCTGACAAGCTCCAAATACACTTGCAGATACAAGCATTAAGTTTTCGTTCGCCAGGCCGTTCACGTCAGCGCGGGTCTTTCGTCTTTCAATATCATCCGTGAACGTCATATCAATCAACCATCCATCAACCGCCATGGAGCAGGCCACCTTTGAATGCTGTCTAAAAACTCTGCAATAAAGTTGTGAAATGCGCATGGTTTCGCTCTAACCCGAAAGTAAGTCAGTTCTAAGTGCTGACGGAGTTTTGTTCGCTGGGCTCCCACCTGATTTATGATGTCACTGGCGACGACCACGGCTTCGCCCGTGTTCTTCGTCACAGCTTGGCTTCATCGAAAATTTACTATGGTCGGCTCGAGATCCTTGCGAGCAGAGGATCCTCTGTTGGACGCTGTGGGCCCCAGACAGATACAAGGCCCCTGGTCAGTGTAAATCACTGGCCCCGGCTTTATAGTTTATTGGGAACTGGGCCCTCAGGCCATATCAACTGTGCGGTACTGGTGGTGTCTGACTGACATATGGGCCTATATCGACTCAGGGGTCCCCGATCGGCGCAAATGGTCCTCTGATCGTTATTTGAGGGCCTATTCCTGCAAGCCGGGCCCATAACTAAGACTCCGACCAGCCCTTCGTGCCCCTAGGCCCTCCAAGCGAGCCCCTCATCGTCGGACCCGGTGGGCCCTCCAGAGTATTCGGGCCTCCTCCAACACTACCTCTGGCCGACTCGAGGTTCATTGCCAACACTAGTTGGCATTAGGCCCCCATTACTGGCTGTGGGACCTCGACAATGTAAACCGCTGGCGCCGGCTTTGTTTCTGTCTGGGAAATGGGCCTTCAGGCCCATGCGACCACGGAGACGACTTTGCGTTGCTACCGGCGTCTGGCCGACACATGGACCCTTATCGACTCAGGGCGTCCCTGATCAGTGGACAGGACCCTCTGGCTGGCATTGGAGTACCCAGACCTGCGGCCGGGGCCGCTGAATGCGACCCCGGCCGGCCTTTCGGGCCCTCAAACCGGGCCCTTACTCGCAGGTTCACAAAGGCCCGAACGGCCCCTCGGAACCCAGGGGGGAGCGTGGCACGTGCCCCTGTGCCCCCCCCCCCCCCCACCCTGCCTGCGCTACTGGCGCCACCCAGTCAGCCGCCAGATCAGCCAGGTGTCGAACCGCGCACGGCGGCAGCTGAATCTCGGCGGCACCCTCAGGCACACAACTAGCGAGCCTCCGAAGCATTACAGCTGTATTTCAAACCACGAGCAGGTGTTTCACAAGCGCACATGACGCGTCGGCGGTTCCGCCACGGCAACGGCACTTGCCAAGGCAAAGGGGATTATTGCTAGCTTTTAATCGTGATGACTTGCGACAGACGGCATGTGGTAAGTATCTAGATACCGAACTACCTGACAGGCACTCTGAACGGGTCTCAACAGTCCACAAACGGTGCGTGGAGGGGAAACATGCGCGCATTTCTATAACCCTACCCGGGAACTATCCGTCCACTTACGTACTACCAGAAAGACTGTCTCGAAAGAATGCACGGGCAATTACCACAACTGAGCCGCAAGATCGCGGAGAGCCTGACACGAAGACAGATCGATATGGTCAGACATTTGCGAAGCGCTCCCCACGGGGACAGCGGGGTGACTGGTCACCAGGACGGGAATGTGGGCAATGCAATGACTGTGATGCCGCACAGAGCCAGCGTCACGACTGAGGAGAGTACTGGACAAACGGAACAACCGGTGAACGCACCACCGACGCGACTGAACACAAACGAACGGAGTCGGCCGGCCGGACAACTAAGACAAAACTGCTCGCCGCAGGAGCGTACCACCGAGACGGCCTCAACATCACGGGCGGCGTGATGTATCTAACACTAACGCATGTTGTGCAGGGCTGAAAACCGCATCTGTGAGTGGTTATGGCTGATGCCTGCTATCGAGATCACGCCTGTCCCGTCCTGCGTTCAGGGGCCCCGAGCTTGTTGAGTTGTTGAGCATCCATTATGGCACCACCATGAGTCTGTGGCAGAATATGCATCCTAAATCATGTACTTTTTGATTTGCACCATCAAGATGAGACACGATCACGATTGCATGAAAGGCAATTAGAAGGCGAACCATCCAATGTCTAGTTGGTTCCAATGCACCGAACAAGAAAGCTTTAAGGGAATAATATTTTCCCTTTAGCCAGCTTGATCACTGGGGCTAGCTAGCTGAGTGTAAGGTTTGGAGGTGCTGTGAAATGCACGTGGACGGTTTTGAACCATGAGTTTGGGATGCATACATCAATTGCGGCCACGATTCGTAGTCCTATAAGCGAAAAATGTATTACACAAGTTGTACTTGTAGAATTTCTGTTCACACCCAGGCGCTAACCTCACATATACCAAAAATAGCAACATATTATGGAGACAACTTTAGGTCAGTACAGAAACCGGAAAACAACAGGACAAAGCATTTAACTATTGGTTTTTGGAGGAATCACGACTGTTATCTCCGGTTCCGGTATCTCCAAGATTTACTAAACTTATAGAGTACCGATACGCTATCTCGGCAACCCCTGGCTTCTACACTCTGTGGCGAAACCTCGGAAAATCTCATAACGTCGTGTGACCTCGGCAAATTACTAAGACCCTGGGAATCGTTACGATTAACGATCTGACAGATTCGACACCGACCGTATCCGACAGCTGCGACTGTCCGATACGGTCAGGATAGCGGACCAGAGGAGACAAATCAGCACAGATCAGATCACCCACATCATCACAAGGCAGATCAGCAGCCGGACAACAAAATGCGCTTCAAAGACTTCACAGATTCCCTCGACTCGGTGCGGGTCTGAGACCGGGTTTCGAAGACGCAGGCGCAGATACAGCGTCACGCACGTGCTGGCCGTGTCCCCGAGTGCCGAGCCGGTAATGGCTGGTGAGTGGCAGCCAGAGCCGCAGTGAATGCAGTGCGCACCACACTCCCACCCCCGCACAGCCCCTGACGTCACACGAGTCGCCGAGTGACATCACAACACGCCGGCACCAAACGATACACCAGTCACAACACGCCGCTCCCTGACGTCACACCAGCCGCCGAGTGACGTCACAACACACCGGCACCAAACGACACACCAGTCACAGCACGCCGGTCCCTGACGTCACACCAGCCGCTGAGTGACGTCACGACACACGGCCCGGACGGCTGCGCACGTGTACCGAGCCGTTCCGCCGCGCCCATCGACTGCCGTCCGCAGGCCGGTGCGGGTCGCTGGTGAGCCGACGACCTGAGGCGTCCGAGCCGAGCCTCCCTTGAATGCTCCTCCACCAATCCCCATCTGCAGCGCTGACACAGCTGACCCGCTGTGTCGGCACAGCTGACCCGCTCGGCCGGCACAGCTGACCCGCTCTGCCGGTACCGCTGACCCGCTGTGTCGGCACAACTGACCCGCTCGGCCGGCACAGCTGACCCGCTCTGCCGGCACAGCTGACCCGCTGTGCGGACACAGCTGACCCGCCGTGTCGGCACGGCTGACCCGCCCGGCCGGCACAGCTGACCCGCTGTGCCGACACAGCTGACCCGCTCGGCCGGCACAGCTGACCCGCTCGGCCGGCACAGCTGGCCCGCTCTGCCAGTACCGCCGACACGCTGTGTCGGCTCGGCGGCCCGCTGTGTCGGCACAGCTGACCCGCTGTGTCGGCACAGCTGACCCGCTCGGCCGGCACAGCTGACCCGCCCTGTCGGCTCGGCGGCCAGAGCCTCCGGCACGCCTCTTAGCGCCGGCCCGTCTTGGCGCTGAAGATGACGTCTCGGGTCAGCATGGAGCTGATGCAGGGGATCTGCTTGCGCTGGTGCATGCCGGGATCGCCTGCGGAGGACGCCGGTGTTACGGTCGGCAGTGCGTCCCTGATGTCCCCGTCCCACCGCCGGCAGTGAGCCCCTGACGACGGATCACGGAGGCCTTCTTTCGGCACAAATAAAACGGCTTACCTCGAGCCCGCACTGAGCCCGAGCCAGTCACGACGTAACCAGCCTGCCCGACCTGAGCCAGTGGCTCTATCCTGTTCCACATTCACGCAAACCAGCAAGTTCGTCTACATTCTGATGAAGCGTATACACAGTGTCGCCATCAGTATTTTGCCCCATGGCAGAGTCCAATGATACACAGCACGCTATTTCCTATGGAGGAGGCCAACCAATACACAGCACGTTTTGTCCCATGGCAGAGCCCAATAGATACACAGCACGAGGAGGATGCCTAGCATATAAACCCGCCCAACCCTGTTATAGGGCCTGACGCTCAACCGGCACAGCTGACCCTGAGCTTCCCGGCTGTTGACAGCGTCGGGACACACAGATTCTTCAGCCGATCGTGCCGCCTCTCTCACCGGGGCAGTTGGACTGGAAGTCGGTGGCCACCATGCGGTTGACGCGGGTCATCACGGTAAGCAGGTCGGTGGTGCGGCCGTACTGGCGCAGGCAGGCGGCCAGCGCCTGCACGAACCACGAGCCGTTGGTGGTGTTGCGCCACGAGTAGTACCCGGGCACGGTGGAGAAGCACAGCAGAAAGTCGGCGTGGGTCGGGATCTTGTAGGAGACCACGTCGCCGTCGGTGGCGGTGCGGCGCGGCACCAGCGTCGTGCCACCGTCCAGCTGGTCCCCTTGGCACGCCTGGTGACACGGGCGGGTGCCACGGCCGGCCGTCACCACCGAGCGTCCGGTGACGCGCCAGTGGTGCCCGCATGGGCTCCCAAACACGCACGGGCACAAACCCCGCCACGATTCTGTTCAGATCTGGCTGACATGCACAACAATTTAGACCACATGTGCTCTTGTATGTGCAGCATTTGTGCGATGGTACACTCACATTTCCACAGTATCATGGTCAGCCGACAGTTCAGTTTCGAAAGCTCGAGGGTCCCACATAAATCAAACTATAATCCACGCCCGTACTGTGTATACTGGAAATCATCAACGTATAATGAGAGGGCACAACATTTCACATCAGTCAAATAAACTGTGGGCATCACTTACTTCCAAACTTACTTATCCCACGCTTTTTGCCCTCCCCCTCCCCCGTCACACGTCCACGAGGAATCCAGAAAAATGTAGCATGCGTGATGCGGATATGTGCACCAGCTAGCCATGGCCCAAATGGCCCAGCTATGTCCGGCTAAATGGACCGGCTATGGTCCAGCTGCGCTCGAACACAAGCAATCTTCTCTGGAGCCCGACCTAACTCAGACAAGCACCTGAACGAAAAAGATCTTGGGTTTGCCGGCCAGCGACGGGCAGCGGTCGGCGGTGAAGCGGGCCCAGAGCTGGTCCGACTTGAGGATCTCGTCGTAGGTGTAGAGCACGCCACTGTCGCCGTGGGAGAGGAAGCAGACCACTATGCAGTCGGCGTCGTTGTGGTCCTCGGTGGACACTGGAAAAATGAAGGGACTGTCAGCGGTGGCACCGCTACCTAGCTCTCCGTGTAGACAGCTGGAAACGGGGGTACGCTAGTGGCGACAGGACAGTTGCCGTCTGACACCCAGACTGGTCACGGACGTCAGACTGATCGCACACGCTGTCAATTGATCGCAGACGTTGTCAACTGATCGCACACACCGTCAATTGATCGCAGACGTTGTCAACTGATCGCACACACCGTCAATTGATCGCAGACGTTGTCAACTGATCACAAACATGGTCAGAGTACGGGGAGCTAGGGGTCCCGGAGCGTCCTACAGAGCGCATGCCTGTCCTTAACGCTGAAGCGAGTAACATTTTAATAAGCTAAGGTGGTGCAATTATGCACTTATGTCGAAAGTACCCAGTTTAACTTCAAAAAATGTTTCGCATGTCCAGACATTGAAGCCAGCATCAGATATGGCGAAACTAGCTCACTTATTTGGCATATTTCTGAAGTGGAGACTGGTCTAGACGGCACAATTCTCCGTTTATTAAGTATGCTCCTCAATGCGCCATTGTTTGAGCACGTCATCGTACCTCGCACAGCATTGATTCGGAGCCAATTGACGGCCGTTACGTCTGGAAATCGCGCCCACGAACGTCAAGTATGAACGCATTGACAATTATATTTGTCCTAGCCTTGATCACCGCATGGGTTCTGGAATAACAGAAGTTGAATGATGTTATTACGACGTCATAAATGCCAATGTGACTATAAAATGCCTTCTTCGATATATCTTTCCGTATCTTCGCAGGGATGTAGCTCAAAAACTAGAGGGCCTTAGGTCTTAAGAATGACAGAATTGTGAACAGCACCGAAAGGTCTTCAATATTGCTATTTCAGTTCAAAACCTAATATAAAAGTGAACTACTGTCTTTAAACTAACCTCAAGATCTTCAATCTGAACTGCATTTTCCCGTGACCAATGAATCACTGAAGGAATCGGGCCATGAGTCCGACGCCAGTACAAATCGCTGCCTGTCCACCCTTGAAAGATATATATCGGGCAGTAATTACCTGTGATCGGGCTGTGATTTCTGACGAGCGAGCCGTGATGGGGTTGTGACCTGGCCGTGATCGGGTCATGGTAGGGCCGTGATCGGGCCATGGTAGGGCCGTGATCGGGCCGTGACCTGGCCGTGATCGGGCCATGGTCTGGCCGTGATCGGGCTGTATTCAGGCCGCGATCGGGCGGTGATCGGGCCATGGTCGGGCCGTGATCGGGTTGTGATCGAGCTGTAGTCAGGCCGTGATCGGGCGGTGATTGGGCCGTGATCGGGCTTTGATCGGGCAGTGATCGGGCCTGATCGGGTGGTGATTGGGCCGTGATCAGGCAATGATCGGGTCGTGATCGGGCGGTGATTGGGCCGTGATCGGGCTTTGATCGGCCCGTGACCTGGCCGTGGCCAGGCCGACCCGTCATCCCTCCGCGGCTGCGGTGGGCGCCGCCTCGCAGTGTGCTGTGATTCACACGGTCTCCGGTCGCCGACAGGATAAGATAGGCGCGCCGCGGACCGCCGCATCGGCCGGCTCCGGGCCGCGCGCCACACGCCCTCCTGACATCCTCGTCTCAGCGCCGAGCCGACGCCGCGGCGGCCCGGCGAGCCCCGCCGCCTCCCCTTCTTCCCCCCCCCCCCCCCCCCTTTCCCGGCCCGGCGCCGACCCATCCACACTCACGTTTGTCCAGCACGGCGAACAGCTCCGACTTGCGCAGGTCGTTGTACACGGTGACTTCGAAGTCGAGGTCGCGCAGGACCCCCGCCAGCGCGTCGCGGTCCACGTCCGTGCCGTTCCGCATCTGCGTGACGTTACATAACGTGTCACGCGCCGACACCGGAGCACCAACATCGCCGGTGTGGCGACACAATGACGCTATAAGTCACGGGGAAAATGGTACGCCCGCTTGAAAAACATGTGCTCATATAACTCGCCATTCGTGAACATCATGCACATGCGCGTCGACACGAAAATGATTAGTCAGGCATGCAATGGTAGGTAGCATCATACCAATATGAGAACGAGATTGGCTACATTCAACCATGCGGCTGTTCCCACACAAGGGAGCGATGAAATGATGAAGACATAGGGCCCTGAATATGACATGACCCTATATACGGTGACGAAAGACCGCCTTAATCCGCTGCTCCGGGTGAGATGTGAGATCCAGGGGCTCACCTCCATCTGCTGCTCCGGGTGGGATGTGAAGTCCAGAGACTCACCTTCATCTGCTGTTCCGGGTGGGATGTAAGGCCCAGAGACCCACCTTCATCTGCTGCCCCGGGTGGGGTGTAAGGCCCAGAGACTCGCCTTCATCTGTTGCTCCGGGTGGGATGTGAGGTCCAGAGACCCACCTCCATCTGCTGCTCCGGGTGGGATGTGAGGTCCAGAGACCCACCTCCATCTGCTGCTCCGGGTGGGATGTGAGGTCCAGAGACCCACCTCCATCTGCTGCTCCCGGTGGGATGTGAGGTCCAGAGACCCACCTTCGTCTGCTGCTCCGGGTGGGATGTGAGGTCTATAGACTCACCTTCATCTGCTGCTCCGGGTGGAAGTCACGGTGGTTGAAGATGACGGCCCGACCCCGCCGCACGTGCTCCATGTTGTACAGGAACGAGTCCTTGGAGGTCGGGGCGCGCGCTACAGCGATAGGCTGCGAACGGCTGGCAACATACACACGGTTCGCTGTGACGGCACCCAGACACAACGCATGCAGTGAACACGGACCGTGGGCGGCTGCCTGAAGTAAAGATCGAACCAAACACAATTTGGTGACGATTTTGAGTGGCCCCACGCACTGACTACAGTTGTTCCCTTTCCCGCTCATGGCTTCCGCTTCGGAGAACGCGCTTTAGACATTAAGCACTTTCTCGATACGCACACAAGCTGTCGCTCAGTGCTAGACATGGATGTGTTGCGCCAGCGTGCCGAGTGTTGCAACATTGTTGCATTGCGCCAGCGTGCCGAGTGTTGTAACATTGTTGTGTTGCGCCAGCGTGCCGAGTGTTGTAACACTGTTGTGTTGCGCCAGCGTGCCGAGTGTTGTAACTAATGCACGCATCATCGGCCAACGTAAGCTGCAAGGCATGGTATCAGGGCCCTCTCGCCATCCTGTGCGAGGTCTCAAGCGCTGTTCGTCCCGTCCCTCAATGCAGACATGACTTCTGAACAAAACACGAGCGGCGATCGAGAACCAAAATTTCTGCCCAATACCCTCGCGATCACTGCCTTCACTGCATGTCCCTCGGTCTCAGCCAATCAACCATTGGGCAGCAGGCCGACCCTTGCCGGCGCTGGTAGGCTCACCCGAAGCCGAACACGAAACCTTGTCAGCGCTGGTAGGCTCACCCGAACCCGAACACGAACTCTTGCCAGCGATGGTAGGCTCTCCCGATCCCGAACATGAAACCTTCCCAGCGCTGGTAGGCTCACCCGAACCCGAACCCGAACACGAACCCATGCCAGCGCTGGTAGGCTCACCCGAATCCGAACATGCCGGCATCGGCGGCATCGCCGCAGCCAGCCGCTGACGGCGCCACCTCCGCGTCGATTGGTACGCTGTCCACCGTCTCCATGTGACTGTCCACCACGTCCACCTGGGTGGCCACTCCGTCCACCTGAGCGGAGGCAGCGCGCTCCATCTCTGTCCTGCGGTACAGCGATGACGTTAGAGGGGCATTCGTTGACAGCACGCTCATGCCCTACAGGCCACAAGATGTTTCGCACCGAGCCAAGCCGCAAGTTCTGGCCGATAGCTGTGACAAGGCAGCCTCGAGTGTCGAACCTGCGATCCCTCGAGCGCCGATTACAGTCTGAGTACGGCCCGACCACGGCCTGACTACGGCCCGATCACAGCCCCATTACAGCCCGACCACAGCCCGATCAGCCGTGGACCGCGCTGCCATCACGCTGGTATTGTGGGCCGCTCAGAGTATGGGCTCTTAAGGAAGCATTGAGAAAATAATCCTTACAAGACCGCCAGACAAATGTTTATTATGACTATATATTATAACGATAAATGTCATAATTATATATTTACCCACTACTGGGGTGCCAACAGTGCATCACACTGTTTTCATCTAATTCTCACACCACCCATCACACTTCTCCGGTCAATTGTGTGTAGACAGCAGGCAGAAACTCAATGTCATTGGTACTCGATACCCAACGTTCAATGCCTCAGAAACATGGAGGAAAGTCGAGGGGGAGGGGTCCTGCCCATACAAGTGTCTGACATTTCGTCCTTGAACGAGATGGTAAAAGATGCGCCCGAGGCTTCTTCTCCGAAATGCCGCCGGAGCCTGCAGTGATTCGTGATGTTGGCGCCTGTAGAAGGGCAGCCATGGGTTTCAGTGCGCTGGAAACGAACTCATCGCAGGAGATGTGCACGTCCGGGCCATTCCCATAACTATCAGAGTAAACCACAGGGCCAACAAACAATCAGGACTGCTGGCACAAACGAGAACTAGACCTCGGGGAAAAGTGCTGGGCCACCCGGGTCGACATCACATTCACATCACGTTTGGCGTATCTAACAGCCAGGCCGCGCATTCCACATTCCACATTCACCGCACGTCCCAGCCCGCCTCCACCGAGCGCTCCTCTCCAGGCGATACTCGCCGCGCTCGCGAGCGGGCGGGCTCACCGGTCAGCCGCCACCGCGCCACTGTTGGCCGCCGTCGGCAGAGCCCCCCGGCCCCCGTCAGCAGAGCCCCCCGGCCCCTGTCAGCAGCGGCCCCCTATCAGGCGCGCCGGGGCTTAACTCCCACATCGTGCCAACCTTGCGCAGAGCCAGAGCTGGCTACGGGCTTTTGACGCGGGCGAAATCGATCAACGTCAATAGTCGTGCACCGACGGCGAAGAGCCGGACCCCGCTTGTTCGGCCCGGGGGGATGGGCGGGGGGGGGGGGGGGGGCGATCAGGACGAACAGGCGCAAATGTGTGTGTAGTGTGGGGTTGGGTGCCTGGTGGGACGGGGCTCACAAACCGCACATCACCATGGAACATAATTCGGTGAGAAAATACACCTCACGTCCCCTCCCACGCGAAATGTTCGGAGAAAAATCCCCGATTTGTTTCCCTCGCCTCCTCCGTAGCCTCACACCCGACCACAAAGCCACCAGCGTGCAGGTGGGTGGGGGTGGGTGGGGGGGGGGGGGGGGCTGTCAGATGGCGGTCGTGGGGCGGCGCTGCGATCCGGCCAGGCCATCGACGCCCCAACAAAAAACCGGTGCCGTATGCCATCATCGTCGGCCGCCAGACACCGCCGCCGCAGCAAAAACCACCGAAGCAACGACCTACTGCAGCCGGGACGGAGCAGCAGCAGGCCCAGCGACGGTTTCGGAAAGAACAGAGCACAGACTCCAGCCTCGCTCTACGGGAAGGTTTTTCCGTTTGCCTAAGAGAGAGAGGGGCTTTCGGGAGGGATAGAGAACAGGCTCCACCCTCGCCCTGCGGGTGGTTCTCCCGTTCGCCCTACGAGGGGAGGGGCCTCGGAGGCCTCCCTACAATCTAAGAAGAAACTAAGCTAATGAGAGCCATCCAAAAACAGCGGTATTCGAAGGCTCCTCGCAACCCCCACCAGAGAGGTGTCAGAACAATGGCCAAAGTGACCTTGACAGGTGGATCCAGGTCAATTGGGTCACGTTATCGGTTTAGATATATTTCTGTTATCTCAAGGACGAAACAAGATACAGCGAGGAAAACAGCGTTGAACAGCTCTTGGAATTTTTCGATAGGCATTAGTAAACACCGACAAATGTAGTCCGTGACGTGACACCAGGTCAAAAGGGTGACGGAGATTGTCACGTTGGCCCCTCAGGCTATATCAAGAACTTAACAAACCACATCAACGGGAAGAATAAGATTAGAAAACCCTTCGCAAGCCGTAAGGTGTGTGCCATTCAAGTTGAAATCGCACGATCTTAAAGCGCTTTTCGACCTTGGTCACCAAGGTCGAGAATCAGCCTAGCTTGACCTCGAATGACCTAACGTTTCCAAAGCTACCGGAACGGCAACAATGCACACCAGGGTAATATAAATAAGAAGAATAAAAACATTTCAACATGCAGTTGTTGTGAGGAATAAGCGTTACTCGTCGCTTTTGAGCAAAATGTCACCCCCATGACCTTGAGAAAAAGGTCTTACATAGATCATGAGCCGTCGAGGTCGCGAGACTTAAACTTTCACAAGATGTGTACAAATGACTTAAGTAAATTCCAGCATCGTGCTCAAATCCGTTCAGACCTAATTCCGGAGGAACTTCGGGGGGCCTTGAGCCCTTTGTAGGGCGATGGTTACGCGCAAAGGCAGGGCAAAGGGAGCCACACCGATGATAGGCAGGAGTGCAAAGGACGAGATCACGGGCAGAAGCGCGGGAGACACAGCGTCTTCACGGGCGGCGAAGGCAGGCTCCAGGGACGGTTAGGGCAGGGTCTAGGGACGGTCCGGGCAGGCTCCTGGGACCGTCAGAGCAGGTCTCAGGGACGGTCAGGACAGGCTCCAGGGACGGTCACGGCAGGCTTTAGGGACGGTCAGAGCAGGCTTTAGGGACGGTCTGGGCAAGCTCCTGGGACGGTCAGAGCAGGTCTCAGGGACGGTCAGGACAGGCTCCAGGGACAGTCAGGGTAGGCTCCAGGGAAGGTCAGTGCAGGCTCCTGGGACAGTCAGGGCAGGCTCTAGAGACGGTCAGTGCAGGCCTCTGGGATGGTCAAGGCAGACTCCCGGGACGGTCTGGGCAGGCTTCTGGGACGGTCAGGGCAGGCTCTAGGGACGGTCAGTGCAAGCCTCTGGGACGGTCAAGGCAGACTCCAGGGACGGTCCGGGCAGGCTCTACGGACAGGCAGGCTCCAGGGCCAGTCAGGGCAGGCTTCAGGGCCGGTCAGAGCAGACAGGGACGGATTCAGCGCAAGGGCAACGGGGCTGAAGTCCGGGGCGAGACCAGCAGAATGCCGTGTTATTAAGGACGCGATCTCGGGGGAACGGGATGAACGGATGGAAACAGGCGTTACAAAAGCACCATGGGCTGATCAAGCCACGTCTTGATACGTCAGCACCGGCAACGCATGGCTGCAGCCGGCGCAGGCAGCGAACTATAGACGGGAGCCAGACGACCGACAGCGGAGTCGGAGAGCCAAGCGGTCCGCTCCGCCTAGAAACTACTCTCGAAATCTACAGCTTCAGGCCGTTAAGCGCACAGCGCACTTTCAAACCCCGACCAGATCGGCGGGTTACCTTCGCCCAGGTCGTCGCCCGCGTCTCCGCCCACGTCTTCGTCCACGTCTTCCGTCCGCCCGGCTCACCGCTGCCTCTGCAGGCGCATCCAACGAGAAGCCACAAATAAAACCGCAGGCAGCCCTGTCAGGCAGTCGCGCCCTCACTGACCTTCCTCCACGCAATTTGGCGTGCTGAGTTCACTTGGGCTTGTGCCAAATAGATCAGTTTTCGCCCCCGCGAAAAACGGTGTCTTTTTCCCCCTAAGAAGTAAATGTGACGCACTTGCCCGGCACCAACAGCACGGCTGCGGTCAATGCCAATGTCAGCCGGCTGAAAACGTCAGCAAAAACCCACAAGGAGTCCTCGAACAACGACCTCACCCCAGCGCCAGCCCCAGCTTTAGCAGGCCAGGCCGGCCCGGTACACCAGCCAGCACGACAGAGCCCAGCTTCAGCAGGCCAGATCGACCCGGTAGACCAGCCAGCACGACAGAGCCGGCCGCGCGCCCGGCTGGCGCCTGACGGCGACGGGCTGACTCACGTGGCCCTGCCCTACCTCAAGCTGGGCCCGGCCCCCGATCAATACAGCCACCTCTGCCTGCCGGCTGCAAGGAGCCGGCTACACCGGGCGCCAATCCTGCGTCCGTGTCGCCGACCGAGCCGGCTACACTGAGCGCCACGCTGAGCACCGACACTGCGTCTGTGTCGCCGACCGAGCCGGCTACACTGAGGGTAGTGCCACGTGACACAGTGGCATTGCTTTCCCATGCGTCCGTGTCGCCGACCGAGCTGGCTACACTGAGTGCCGACACTGCGTCCGTGTCGCCAACCGTCGCCGACCGAGTCGGCTACACTGGGCGCCGACACTGCGCCCGTGTCGCCGACCGAGCCGGCTACACTGAGTGCCGACACTGTGTCCGTGTCGCCGACCGAGTCGGTCACACAATATTTCCTTCTGCCCGTCAAACAAGACAGACTAAAACACTTTTAGCATTGCATCAAGGCCAGGATCAGGAGCCATCGCACGCTGCGCAGACTGAGCGAGTGAATCCCGTTGCGGGCCTATAAGATCCTAGGTTGTTCCTGTTATCGTGCCGCCACACAAAACAAACGGACCCGAGGCAATATTTTCACGCACTTGCCACCGCGTTTGTGGTGATAAGGAGCAAAGGTGAGGAGCTGCACAAAACCGTCGGTTTGTCCTCCTGACAGCTCAGTCTGTACAGCGTAGCGAAGCGAACAACGTCAGGTGGACGGGCGGATAGGCGCCCCAGAAGGCTGTCCATGTGGCTCGTGACTAGGGGCGGCCTCACAACTGGCCCCCAGTGCCGTGGTAAAGCGGGGGCCGCCTCACAACTGGCCCCCAGCCGTGGTAAAGCGGGGGCCGCCTCACAACTGGCCCCAAAGCCGTGCTAAAGTAGGGGCAGCCACACA